GATTTATTTATGCATACAGAACTGGGGTACAGGCCAGAGGTGCAGGGGCGGTGAGAGGCTTCACCAGAGGCAGAGTGGGGAGCAGAACAGGCCGACTGACCAAGTACACTGCTGAGGGGAGCAGCGGGCAGGTCAGGAGAGGTCTGCCGCGCAATGTGGTCACCTCTGGGACCCGATGTCGAACTCAGACTAAAGCGGCTGCAGCTCGCTTGCAGTGCTACGTCCCAACCCATTGCGCCACCAGGGACGGCCACCCAGGAGTATTTTTCACAGAAATTGGACAAAAATATTGAAGTTCATATGGAAACACAAAATGCCTGGATTGCAAAAGCAGCCCTGAGGGAAAAAAGAGATGTGACTTCAAACTTTACTATAAAGCAACGGTACAAAAAAAAAATATATATATATGGCATTGGCACAAAAATAGACACATAGAACAATGGCTCAGATTGAATGTCCAGAAATAAAATCACCTACATACCAGGACCTAATCTATAATAAAGCAGCTATGACCATAAAATGGGGGGGAAGGACAGTCTCTTTAATAAATGGTGCTGGGAAAAATTGGAAAGCCACACATAAAAGAATGAAATTGAATTACTCACACTATACACAGAAATAAACTCCAAATGGGTTAACGATTTAGACATAAGACCTACAAACAATACATAGAAGAAAATATTGGTGATACATCCCAAGATATCAATGATAAACATATTTTTGCTGACTGGACCCCTACGGCAAAGGAACTAAAAATAAAAATAGACACAGTTGGGATTACCTTAAGTTAAAAAGCTTTCATACAGTGAGAAAATACAAGATGATTAAAAAGTCACTCCACTGAGAAAATACTCATACAGTATATGACTGATAAGGGATTAGGCCCAAAATATGTTTTAAAAACCCACACAATTCAACAATAAAATACAACCAAATTAATAAACTGGCAGCAGATATAAACAGACAATTCAGCAAAAAGGACATCCAGAAAGCCAATTGATATTTGAAAAAATATTCATGATCATTTCCAATAAGAGATGCAGCTTAAAACCAGAAAGAGCTACCATTTCACACCCATGAGAATGACACATATTAAAAAGACCTCCATCCAGGGCCCTCCCTGGTGGCACAAGGGGTTAAAGTACAGCACTGAAGCTAGCAGCAACCACTGCAGCATGGGTTCTGTCCCTATCCAGGGAAATGACCAACATGGTGCAGCAGACCCCTCCTGTCTAAACTGCTGCTCTCCTCAGCAGTGTATTTCAGTCCATCTGCCTGTTTTGCTCCCCACTGTCTCTGGTGCATCCTCTCACCACCCACACCTCTGGACCATACCCCAGTTCTGTATGCATAAATAAATAAATCTTTAAAAATATAAAAATAGACCTCCAACAACTGCAGGAGAGGATGCAGAGAAAAAAGATTATTACACTATCGGTGGGAACATAAACTATTACAACTATTATGGAAAACAATATGGATTTACCCTTAAAATATAAACATGAAAATACCCTACAAGCCAGCAATCCCACTCCTGGGCATACTTTCAAAGAATATGAAATCATCAACATGAAAAACCCATATGTTTGACAATGTTCATAGCAGCATTATTTAAAATACCTAGGACATGGAAACAGCCTAAATGCCCATCACTGGTCAATTGAATCAAGAAGGTATGGTATATTCATACAGTGGAGGACTGTGTGGCCGTAAGAAAGAATGAAATGCAGCCATTTTCAGCAAAATGGTAGGAGTTTGAGAGAATTATGTAAAGCATGTAATAAAATGAGAAGATTATGTACAGTAAAGCATGTAATAAAATTTATGTCGCAGAAAATTTGATAATATAAAACACTTTCAAAAACCAGTGGACATCAATAAACACCATGAGCGTTCTGAGGTTAAAAGAGAGGGAGGAAGGAAAAAGACAAAGGGATGTTAGGGTGCTATCTGTGGGCAAAAGAAAAAATCTGATCCATTAAAAAAGAAAGTCATATAACAAAGTAAATGAAAAGACAAACTACAGACTGGGTGAAAACATCTGCAAAATAATATCTGAAAAAGACTTGTATCTTGAATACGTAAAGCACTCTTGCAACTCAATAAAAACAACCAAAATTTTTAAAATGGGATAGAATAGATGTGTTTTTTTAATATTTGTTTTTATTTATTTATGCATAGAATAACTGGGGTGTAGGCCAGAGGTGCAGGGGTGGGGTGTGTATATGTGTGTGTGAGAGAGAGAGAGTGGATTCACCAGGGACAGAGCAGAAAATGCTTATCTACTGAAATATCCTGCTGAGGGGAGAGATAGGAGAGGTCTGCAGTGCCTAGTGGGTCAGCTCCCTAGCCTTGTAGGTTAGGCCCCCCCGCCCCAGCCAGGGATTCAACTCATGTCACAGCCACTGGTGATAGCTTGATAGCACTGGGACTTTAACTCCTGTGCCACTAGGGAGGTCCTAGAATAGATGTTTTACGCAGGAAAAGATAAGAATGGAAGTCTAGTAAGCACATAAAAAGACACTCACCATCATTGTGAGCAATGCAAATTAAAACCATACCACTAGAATGTCTACAATTAAAAAGAAGAGAGACTATCAAGCCTAGTAAAGATGTGGAGAAACTGGAGACCTCATACATTGCTCTTGGGAATGTAAATTGATGCAGCTACTTTGAAAACAGTTTGGCTATTCCTCAAAATGTTAAACATAGATTTCCATAGGACTCAGCAATTTCACAACTGGATGTTTACCAAGAGAAATGAAACATGTTTTCATAAAAACCCCAGTACACAAATGTTCATAGCAGCATTATTCACAGTAACAAAAACCTGTGTATGAACATTCATAACTTTATTTTTCACAATAGCCAGAAAGTGGAAGCAATGAAAATACTCATCAACTGGTGAGTAGATCAAGAAAATGTGATATGTTCTTACCATAGAATTACATTCAACAATAAAAAGGAAAGAACTACTACTGATAGAAACTACATGGATGAACCTCAAAACCATTATGCTGAGTGAAAGAAGCCAGATGCAAAAGACCACATGTTGTATGATTCTAATTATACACTATGTCCAGAAAAGGCAAACTATAGAGACAGAAAAATCATAAATGGTTGCCTGGAACTACAGATGGGAACAGGGGTACAAATGGACGTGAGGGATCTCTACAAAGTGATGGAAATATTAAAAATCTGGGTTGTGGTTATAGTTGCACAACTCCGTGAATTTACTACAAATCACCAAATGATTTATTTAGTATGGAAGAATATTATGGCATGCAAATTTTACTTCAATAAAGCCCATTTTTAAAGTAAGCCTGTAAATGGCGTTGAAATTTGCTGTTACTAGCTACGGAATTGTGTGCATGTCTAATCTTTTTGGAACTCAGTTTCCTCACTTGTGAAATGATTGTTGAGGATTAAAGGTAATACTTGTTAAGTTGGTGCCAATATTTGTTTATTATTCTTACTAATAACTTATTTCTTGTGACTACATCTAATAAAAGCTTTGGAAAATGAAGCATATTATGTTCTATTTATTATCAATGAACTTTACTTTTTATTAACATACAGTTCACATAAGATTTACCCTTTTAAACTGCAGTTTATTGTTTTTTAGCATCCATCACTGCTGTATAATTCCACAATAGTTTTTATCACGTTTAATGGATTTTATTAATTGGGTGGTTTAACTATTTAAATTCTAAATGTATACAAACTTATAAAGTTATACCTTCCTAAGTTTGGGGACTAAATCTTATATACAATTTAGTGTACAATTTCCACCAATGAATGCATTTGTTGAAACTTAACTTTCTATTTTTCATAATTTTAAGTAAACTATTGTACCGAAAGCTTAGGTGGCATGAAACATTTATTTTCATCTTTGTCAATGAACACGTGTAATCTAAATTTGTATTCTCCTCTCCTCACATTTTGTCTCTTGCCATAATTGAATAGTCAATGATAAATATTTAAGTCATTTGTAAAGTATGGAAAACATGGAGAACAAAAAATTACCAATCTCTTTTTACACATCATTGCCATAGAACATCAGACTAACAACATAACGATTCAGTATTTGTATATACTGCAAAATAATCACCACCGTTCCAGTTTTTTCTTGTGATAAATTTTAAAATCTACTCCATTTCAAACTTTAACACGATGAAAAAGGGCTTTAAAAGTCTCAAAAATCTTTACATTTTAAGATTTCGATTTATTAGTAATTTTCCCGTTAGAGTAGTAGGTTTTCTTGCATCGGATTTAAAAAAAAAAAAAATCCCTAACTTTGGGCGTTCCTAAGACATCTAGCTTCTATCCTATGCAAACTCCATTTTGAGAAGTCTGGCGCCACCACGGACCACCTCCCAGCTTCCAGAAACCTCTCCGTGAGAAAAAGTTAGGGACTTTACTTTTACCATCCCTGAGCCCGTCCCTAAACTCCACGTGAGGGCGCCCTCCCTACTGCCCGCCAGGGGACGCGCAGCGACGTGAGCGGCCAGCTCAGCGTGCGACCTTTTCCCAGGCAAGAGCCGTAAACGGAGGGCAGGACCCCGGGCCGACCTCGCCTTATTAAATTATGGAAATGGGTGAAGAGGGACATTCCACTTTCTGTCCTCACACCCCAGATAAAATTCCCAGGTTCCGGGAGGCTCTTCCGGCCATCCCCACGGGAAACGGAAATGACTTTTCCCTTGCCAGCGCGCGCGTGGGGCTGCACGACCCGCCTAGCTGGGGGCCTTTGCTGGGGCTGCCCTCTGCGCTGCCTGCACACAGAGTTAACAGGGCCACTGCAAATAGGACCCGAAACGTTGCCCCGTATTTTCCACTTTGCTTACCGGCAGCACTTTGTAACCCCAAGCGGAGAGACGTCCAAGCAGTGAGGCTCCTGCTGCACCAGTATCCCCCTTTCCCAGGCCCGGCCCTAGTCGGCCTTCCCGCCTCCGCTTCTCCGCCTCTCACCAGGGGGCCTGTGTTCGGTCAGGCTGCAGCCAAGGCAACTTCCTTCCTCTCCGGGCAAGATGGCGGGGGGCGAGGGTGGAGTGACTCTGGGGCAGCCTCACCTTTCCCGCCAGGATCTCGCCACTTTGGTAAGGTTTCCTTCTCGGAAGAGTATAAAGTGAGCTCTGGAGTGACGATGACCGAGATTTCGGGGAGGTTTTGAGTCGAAGCAGGGCTGGGCTGCGGGAGCATGTGTTAGGGAGTGCCGGGGTCCGGCGCCCTCCGTCCGGCTCGGGCCTCCTCCAGTACCGCCGCAAGTCCCCGAGCGTGGGGATGTTAGGGGACACCTCGAACCCCCCAGAGGTTCCGCCTGGAAAGTCATGGTGTTAAGTGCCATTAAGATTTTCACTTGGGGAGACCTAGGAAGGATTTGTGTATTCTTTCCCTTAATATTAACGCTGTCAAAGTTGCGGGGGGTGGGGGGATCGGGAATTCACATAATGAATGGAGATGTCGTTTTGTGTAAAGATGTAGGACTTCTAGGGCTTCCCAGTCATCAGGGTACAACGTTGCTTACCCAGGACTAGAGCTTTTGAAGTAGAAGCTTTTTACTTGGCGATGAGCAGTAGGTAGCAGTGTAAAATGAGAGGAAAAGTTGTGATTTGTCTATTGTTCTATTTAAAATTAAAATTTGTTTGCAGGATGTCACCAAGTTGACACCACTTTCACACGAAGTTATCAGCAGACAAGCTACAATTAACATAGGTAAGATAATAACTTGGAGGCATTGTTTGCATCATCTGTGGCAAATAATTTTTTTATTATTTTTCCCTTTCCTGGCACGTAATTTTAACCTATCCTTGTGTGATTATTTTAAGACGATGTAGATATTCGAGAAATAGTAATGAACTGTTGAAGTGATACATGAAAATGTAGCCTTAGATATTCAAGAAATAGGTCTTCAGTTCCTGTAGGTATAGCACCTGCTAAATTTTTTTGGGAAGCACAAGGAATGTTGCCCATGCCTAGCTTACAGACTAGGTGAGAAGAAAAGATGGAAGTAAGAAAAAGTTAATAACATAAGGCAATACTTAAGCAGAAATTTAAGAAGAGGTGAAAATGTGGCTGTATTGGCCATACAAGGCATATAGCAAGGGCAGAGTTTGTGAAAATTTTATTTGATATATAAGCTGTTATTAAGGAGATTATTTTCCCCCTTAATTGGCACCTAGAACTTTAAAGGAGAAGTTATGTTGACCAAGTGTAAATTTTGGATATTTGAGAATGTGTACAAGTAGCACAGTAAAACATAGTTAAAAGTCAAGGCTTTACCATGAGGCTAATAAAAAGTTATAAGATATATTTATTCTTGGCAGCATCACTGTAATTAAACTTGGGTCCTTGTTTCACTGGTTTCTTTTCATTGTGTCTTGGCTTACAGTACCTTTTTATTTCTTACTGGAAATTCTGGGAAGTTTCCTAATATACAAGGTTATTAATTGCTTGTTTTAAAGGAAGACAAGCTTTTCTGTGATTAAAAGTATAAGATACAGAACTTTTATTACTATGAGTGGTTTTTAAAGGTTGTCAGTTACATGTAAAGTCCCCTTCATTTATGTTTCAGAACAAGTTTGTAGTAGGCAAAAATAGGAGAAAAATTGAACTTGTCGGTTTTTAATGAAACTATTTATAGTGAGACATGGCTTTGGGTTTTCTGTTCTATTTGAAAAAATACTTGGGGTAATTGAATACACATTAATTTCTTGTGCTTTGTCTAGGTACAATTGGTCATGTAGCTCACGGAAAATCCACAGTTGTCAAAGCTATATCTGGAGTTCACACTGTCCGGTTCAAAAATGAACTAGAAAGGAACATTACAATCAAACTTGGATATGCCAATGCGAAGGTGAGCTATATACAGTGGAACTGGAAACTAACTTGAACAATATGCAAATAGCAAATCCAAATCTTTCGTTCTTTCATTGAAATGTTTAGATTTACAAACTTGATGACCCAAGTTGTCCTCGGCCAGAATGTTACAGATCTTGTGGAAGTAGCACACCTGATGAATTTCCTACGGACATTCCAGGGACCAAAGGGAACTTTAAATTAGTCAGGTAACCCTTTTTGTGCTGAATACAGTTTACACTTCATATTTTATTATCTTGTGATTTGTGCTTTTTGGGATTTTGAGATAATAAGACAGTGAATGTAATTACACAATGATTTTTTTGTGTGATGACAGTAGTTTCAAAAGTCAAGTATTTAATCTTTGTTAAGGTACTTAATATGCAAATTCTGCAAAGGAAAAGTATCATAAGCAGAATGGAATGGAGGGGAGTTTTTTGCTCAGGCTTCTGAAATTTCTTTTGCATAATACTGTTTCTGTGTCTGATAAGGGAGGAACAAAATCATCCTTGATTATCTCAAATCCATGGTCTTACTGCTCTTATCTTTTCTGAGTATGATCCTGTTTCTTTCTTTCTTTATGCATACAGAACTGGGGTACAGTCCAGAAGTGCTGGAAGTGGGGTGAGAGGATTCACTAGAGACAGGGGAGCAGAACAGGCAGATTGACTTAATTACATTGCTGAGAGGAAAGCCAGGAGACAGGAGAGGCCTGCCATTCCAGGGATTGAACTCGTGCTGCAGTGGCTGCTGATAGCTTCATCGTGTGGCACTTTAACCCGTTGCACTACAGGGAGGCCCTATCCTAGTTCTTGATCAGAGAATACTGATACCTACCTAGTGATGTTTGGGGGGGCATGAGGATGCCCTACAAGGAAATTTTAGCTTGGGCAGAGCTGGGACTGGAGTGAGATAAGTGAGGCCCTCAACTTCTGCCCAAAATTCAGTGGGGGGAGGGGTTGCTAAAACAAAAGCACATTAATCAAGATAAGTGGTATTTTAATGCAGTGTTTTTTTTTAATTCATACAAAGAAACCATGACAATATAATTTTTATAAATAAATAAATAGGCTCAAATAAGTAAATAGAAACAGGCTCAAATAAATAAATAAATAGAAACAGGCTCAGTACTACAAGTTTTTTTTCTTTTGCTTTAGTATCACTGCTTTTAGCTTGGCATTGTTAGTGATCTGGTTTTCATTATAATTTTGATATTCCTGTAGGGGTTTTTTGCCTTTTTTAAAAAATATTAAATATTAGTTATCCTGGATACTGACTTTTTTGTATCCTCTTAAATTTTGTACCCAAGACAAGTGCCTCTTTGGCTTTACCCGACTTTTAGTCCTGATCAGGGATCAACCAGCTTTTCTATAAAAATCCAGAGAGAATGTTTCGGCTTTGCAGGCCAGAAGGCTTGGTGCAGCTGCTCATCTCTGCTCTGGTGATGGGAAGCAGATGTAGGCCAGGCGTGAGTGGGTGTAGCAAGTGGGCCATAATGGGACAAAGGGCAGTGGTTTTCTCCTGTTTTAGATCGTGACAGTATAAACATGTACTTTTTTAAAATAATGATTTGGGAAGAGTAGCATAGTTTTACTGAGAGTGATGCTTTCGCCAAGCCCATTAATAATTCTAGCCTTTTTAAGGTGTTAAGGAAATTTTTGGCGAAATTATGTTTTTAGATGGTAATGCACATTCTATTAATTGTGTTTTCATTTTCAACTACATAGCATTCCTAATACACACTTTTGATTGGATTTGAGAATTTCTGTCTCGAGTTATTTCTTTTTTTAAAAGATTGGTTTATTTATGCATATAAGAGCTGGGGTGTAAACTAGAGGTGCAGAGTGGGGGTGAGAAGATTCAGCAGAACTAGAGTGGGGAGCAGAACAGACAGATCTATTGAAAGACACTGTTGTGGGGAGCAGCAGGCAAGACGGGAAAGGTCTGCTGCTGTGTTGTATGTAGTTTAACTATTTGGGGACTGAAATCATGCTGCAGTGGCTGGTGATAGCTTGCTATGTGCTGTGACTTAACCCCTGTGTCACCAGGAGCGCCATGAGTTATTTCTTTACAATGATTACAGTGTTTTTATTCTAAACTAAATAATTTTATTTCTTAGGTTTAGAAACACCAATTCTGTAACCACTTGACTTTATAGCAATTAAGAATTATTTCCTTATTCTTACTCCATATTTATAAGGAATATTCACATTGCATTTTTAGAGTGACTTTAGGGAATCTATAACTTACACATTTAAGAGTATCAGTTGATCTTAGAGCTGATTGTTATTTCTCTATTATTAGACATGTTTCCTTTGTTGATTGTCCTGGTCACGACATTTTGATGGCTACTATGCTAAATGGTGCAGCAGTGATGGATGCAGCTCTTCTGTTAATAGGTAAATGCATCAGAATTGGTTTGGATAAATCAGTGTGGGCCAGATTATAGGTGGAATACTTAACGGAGATCTGAGGCCTTTAAGGTCCATGTTCATTATCTAAGCATGATGTTAGTAAGAACTAACGGGTCATCCAGGATGACATCCCTTCTACAAGCTGTCACAAAGTGCTAAACAAGATTGACCCGGGAGTGATGTCTTGTGAGAATTCTCTTGTTGGTATTAAAAAAAAAAAAAAAAAAGACAGAATCTTTTAAAAGTGCTCTTTTCCTGTTTAAATTTCATGAAATTTGCTTTTGTTTTAAATTTACTTGTGAAAGTATGTTTCCCCCCATCTGCATTGTCCACGGCCACATTGACATGTAATGGTTTTGTTTAGATGCACATTTCATTCATAATAAAGACTGAAGGCTAGACCTGAATCAGGGTTTTCAAGACTAGACTTGGGCTGCCTTCCTTATGTGATCTGTCAAGAGACTTCTGCGATGGGATAAAAGTTTTAAAAGCATGCTGAGTGGATGTAATACAGGATATGTGAACATCACTACCTGGGGAGTGCTCACCAAACATGCCTATTTCTACACTGTTAGGTTCACAGTATTCTTCCCTCCCTTTGTTGAGGATTTGCTTCTGATAATTGAGATTCATAAACTTGGTTAATTATCTTCTGTCTGTCTGGAGACTAGACAGAGCAAGAGTGCAGAGAAGCCAGACTTGTTTCTAAGCTTCTTGCTTAGGACCAGGAATGGGAGCCAGAAAGGCTCTAAGTGAACCCAGACACAGATGAAGCAGGGGCAAAAGATGGACACTTGGCAATGACATGTAGTCTTGCTTTGAGTAGGCTAGCACAATCAAAAGTTGCTTTCAGTGGAAACCAGCTAATTTATTTTTTGGTGTTAAACTACACAGACATAAAATTTACCATTTTAGCCATTTAAAATGGCTAAAGTTCAGCGAGGTTAAGTGCATTCACAGTGTCGTACAAGCAGCATTACTATCTAGTTCCAGAACTTTTTCATCACCCAAAAGGTAACTCCATGTCCACTAGGCAACCATTCGTATTCCTCCTATCCCCAGCTCCATGCAGCCACTACTCTATTTTATATCTCTCTGAGTTTGCCTGTTCTAACTGATTGCCTTGCATCTTTTCTACTCATCTAGCTGGTAATGAATCTTGCCCACAACCGCAGACTTCGGAACATTTGGCTGCTATAGAAATCATGAAACTAAAGCATATTTTGATTCTACAAAATAAAATTGATTTGGTAAAAGAAAGCCAGGCTAAAGAACAATATGAACAGATCCTTGCATTTGTACAAGGTAAGAGTCCATAATATTTAAGAAACCTATGAATTGCTATGAGAGGCTTTTTTTTTTAAAGATTTATTTATTTGTACATACAGAACTGGGGTATAGGCCAGAGGCTCAGGGGCGGTAAGAGGCTTCACCAGAGACAGAGTAGGGAGCAGAACAGGCAGACTGATGAAGTACACTGCTGAGGGGAGCAGCGGGCAGGTCAGGAGAGGTCTGCCACGCCATGTGGTCACCTCCAGGGCGGGCGGGAATCGAACTCATGCCGAAGTGGCTTTAGCTTCTCAGTGCAGTGCTTTAACCCGCTGCACCACTAGGGAGGGCCGCTATGAGAGGCTTTTAATCAGACTGCAGATAATAACCAGATTCTAATATAAATTACCTCAAATAGTATTTATGACTTTAAGCCTATTTTTCTATTACTTGTTAGCCACCTAATATAACTAGTGAGATTTACGTATGAATTTGATAATGTTTTTGTGGACCGAAAGAACTGAAACTATGTTCTAGAAACTCAGATTTTAAAGAAATTCTCAGTGATGGACAAAATAGGAATGTTCAAAAACCAAATCATAAGTTTTCCATGCCTCTTACTAATGACTTTCAGCCCTGGAGCAACCAATTAATCTCTAGTATACAACGTAGTGTTTTTCATTTCAAGGAAACATGATGTATCTTTTGGTTGACATTTATTTGATGCTCTTAGCCTTGATTTTCTTGTTAGAAAATAGAATTCTGTAAGCCCAGTTCTATCACAGTCATGTTGATTAATTATAATGCTTCATTTCTTTTACCACCCTATTTGACATAAAATGACTAAGCAAATACAAAGGAGTCTTCGTTAGCAAAGATCAGTATTTTTTTCTTTTAAGATTTATTTTTACTTATTTATCCATACAAGAACTGGGATGTAGGCCAGAGGTGCAGTGGGGAGAGGGCGTGTGAGAGGACTCACCAGAGACAGAGTGAGCAGCAGAACAGGCAGACTGAAATACACTGCTGAGAGGAGCAGCAGGTGAGACAGCAGAGGTCTGCTGCACCATGTGGGTCAGCTCCCTGGCTGGGGCTTGAACTCGTGCTGCAGTGGCTGCCAGTAGCATCAGTGCTGAGACTTAACCACCTGTGTCACCAAGGAGGCCCCCAGGAGTCAGTAATTTTATCCTGACTTACTGGGAGGTTATTTACATGTTATTAGAAATCTTTCAAATAGTAAAATGTTCTTTCCCTGGTATGTTAGTATTTTATTCCTTTGAACAGTTTCATTTTGGTATATTAGCATAATTAAAAATTTTTTTCCTTAAGGCAAATTGTATTTATTTTGAGGAATAAAAACATTGAATATTTTCACCTTCCAACCTTTAGTGGCATTTATGTGGGAATGTTAAGTATTTGTTTAGTAATTTTAACTGCTTTTTGTGATCCGTATAGAACAAAGTCTAAAGCTGAAGAATTTTGATCTCTGAATGTTGTCTTATAGGTACAGTAGCAGAAGGAGCTCCCATTATACCAATTTCTGCTCAACTGAAATACAATATTGAAGTTGTCTGTGAGTACATAGTAAAGAAAATTCCAGTGCCCCCGAGAGACTTTACCTCAGAACCCCGGCTTATTGGTAAGTGATAGGATTTATCTTTAACAAATTTGATCTTTTTCATATTGGTGATTCTTTCCATTAAGGGTATTTATTAACATTTTCTCTTCTGCAGTAGTGATAATAAATGACAGTCTTCATAACATGTTTGTTTGAAATTGATTAATTCTGAGATTACATTTGCAATGCTGGATTGCATTACAGGGATTTAGAACAGTATTCTGGTGGTAGGAACTTCTAACCTTTTTTGTGTGCGATATGGGTATGTTACGTGATCAAGATGGAGTAATACACTATTCTGTATGGAATTAACACCATTTTAGTCAGGAACAGCTTATTTAGAACTTCATACACATCTAAGCCCTTCTGGCCTTCACCTGGGGCCCTTGGGTGCTGTGAGAAATATTCTGCTGGGTGTGTGCTCCTGGCGAATGTCACTCCTCTCAGGATCTAAGTGCAGATCACATAGTCCTATGGTTTTGTAGTTTTTAGTCTAAGTTTTTAGTACAAAAATCATATGGCACAGAGGTATCTAAAGAAAAAAGTTCGTATTTCTACCTTTCCCCTGCCTTCTATTTCTAGCCCCTTAGTTCTGAAGTAACCACTGTTTATTATTACCATATTGTTGTTATCATCATGTATAAACATGTTTCTTGTTTTTTCCTTGTAGAAATGGGATCATACTATACATGTTATTTTTGTAATTAGCTTTTTTTTTTTTTAACCTTCACGGTATATAAGAATTATTTTTCTAGGTTGCTACATAAGCCTTTAACATTAAGTTGCGTGATCCCCCATTGTATGGTTGTGCCATAATATGCTTATCAGTGGATTTTTCAAACTATTTTTACTTTTTCCATCATAAGTAAGACTTTCCATCATAGTTGGGGTAGTATTAGAGCTTGTCACAAAATTCCTCATATGGTATAAATCATATGTGGCTACTATTTTGGGAAAGTTAACTTAGAAAATAATGTTCTGAAATTAAAATAAACAGTTGGCTTTAATTTATTTTGTTTTCTTTTAGTTATTAGATCCTTTGATGTCAACAAACCTGGCTGTGAAGTTGATGACCTTAAGGGGGGTGTAGCTGGTGGTAGTATTCTAAAAGGTGTATTAAAGGTAACTGCGTTTTTGTTTTGTTTTTCTTTTGCCTTAATTGGGAAAGTAATACGAACATTCCCAATTGAAAAATAAAAGGTTCATAGTACTTGATATATAGATTTCTTTGTTTACTATCATGTCATTTGAATATGTCTGACCTCCTAACATGGGTTCCTTGTGATTATGGAGCACACTTCGTATAGTCACTGGTTTTTGTGGTAGATAATTAAGGCAGTTGGATGGTTCTGGTTTTGAAGATAGTGGTCTTTGAGATAGAGAAAAGACTGCCTTTTCAGTTTTCTGATCCCCCATTTATATGAAAATATTGCTGTTCTTATCCTACAGTGATCTCTAATCACTAATTTATCTCTTTACAGGTTAGCCAGGAAATAGAAGTCAGACCTGGTATTGTTTCCAAAGATAGTGAAGGAAAACTCATGTGTAAACCAATCTTTTCCAAAATTGTGTCACTTTTTGCAGAGCATAATGATCTTCAGTATGCTGCTCCAGGGGGTCTGATTGGTAAGAGTTTTCTTCTCATCTCTGTGCTTTTAATTTGTGGTTATTAGTCATCCTTTTCATGGGAAAGATATGGTATAGATTTTTTTTAAGATATATTTATTTATGCATGTAAGAACTGGGGTACGGGCCAGAGGTAGGAGATGAGAGAATTCACCAGAGACAGTGGGGAACAGAACAGGCAGATTGACCGAAACACACTGCTGAGGGGAGTAGCAGATAAGACAGGAGAGGTCTGCTGCACCATGTGGGTCACCTCTCTCCCTGGAGATCAAACTCTTGGTGCAGTGGCTGTAGATAGCTTCGTACTGCTGCACTTTAACTCTTTGTGCCCACTAGGGTGGCCTCCCACTACACTTCTTTTAGAGCTACATGGTTTGGGCATTAAGAGTGGTTTTTTATGTATGTTTTGCAAGTGAAAAGTTACCTACAGTGGTCATTTGAATCATGTCAGATCATTTTTTCACTGAGGTAAGAATAAAAGAAGATAACTTCCATTGTGTGAGAATTACAAGATTATGAATTTTTTGGTCCCTGACAATTTAACCTATTACCTGATACTCAGAAAAAGGCAAAAGTACAGTGAAAAATTAGTCAGAAGTATTGTACCTTTGGAGTCAAGAAGAAAGTGATCAGGAAAGGCATGTCTTTTAGTTCTCTGGTTTTGGGCTATATAGTTCATTTCTCTATTCTGTCCTTGAAGGATTTGCTCTGTGTAGTTTCAATCTGAGTTTCATTTTGTCTTTATAAGCAATGAAATTGAAGTGTTGAAAGGTTATATATACAACCTTTCAGATGAGAAGGTAGTGTGATAACTCTCATGGAGCCAGCCACCACCTTGCTTCAGCAGTTACCAGTACTTTGTCAGTCTTGTTTCATCTATATATCCTCTTTTTCTGCCTTGGAACACACTCAGCTAAAATATTTTGAAGTGTATCCTAGGAATAATATATCAAGTCTTTAGGTTGTCCTTTTGATCAGCTTTAAGAGTAGAAATGGCAGGCAAATATTCTGTAAACTACTTGTAAGTTTACACCTTACCAACCTTTCCTAAGAATATTCAGACTCAGTTTTTAGTTAAGTTGTCATCTCTATTTGCCCTTTGTTTAGAAATACAATAAAGAGAATCTAGCTGTTTTCAAATGCCCAACTAACCTGTGAGTTTTTAGTTGTTTCTTCAGATAAAACAGTTTTCAGTCCTCCTGCTTAACTATCATGAATATGAAGATATAAAAATAGGTTAATGCTATATTTGTTTGACTAAGGTTTTTGGGTAAACAACTTTATAGGAAATTAAAAGTTGAAGTATATGCATCTTACTTCATATCAGGAGTTGGAACAAAAATTGACCCCACTTTGTGCCGGGCGGACAGAATGGTGGGGCAAGTGCTTGGTGCAGTTGGAGCTTTACCTGAGATCTTCACAGAACTGGAAATCTCCTATTTCCTACTTAGACGGCTTCTAGGTGTACGCACTGAAGGAGATAAAAAAGCAGCAAAGGTAAGTGCTTTCTGTAACTCCTGTTTAAAAAAATGACAGTAATGTTAATAAGACTGGTTTTGAAGTTCATCCTTTTACAGTTATCAGAAATTAAGAAAAGATGAATGAGTAAATTTGACTCTTGAAAGTTGAGAGCTTCAATATGGCAATCAGTATATATATATATATATATATATTTATTTATTTATTTATACATACAAGAATTAGGGTTCAGGCAAGAGGTGTGGTGTGGTGGACATTGGGGAGCAGAGACATTGGGGAGCAGAACAGGCAGATCTACTAAAATGCATTGCTGAGGGGAACAGCAGGTGGGACAGGAGAGGTCTGCCACACCATGAGGGTCAGCTCCCTGGCCAGGGATCGAACTCATGCTGCAGTGGCTGTGGATAGCTTGACAGTGCTGTCTTTACTATGCCACCAGGGAGGCTCCATGTTAATAATAACTCTTACAAGAGTTGTCTTGCCTTCCACACTTCTCTTTAGGAAATTTTGTACCTCATTCCACTCTACACCTTTTTCGGAATTTTAAGTGGTTCTCTCTTATGGTTACTAATTTGTTTTTTAAGGTAGATCAGTGGATGTCAATAAGCCTTCTGTTTGCATTACACACACTCACGCTTCAAATCCCAATGCAGTGCAATTTCTGTAGAGTTTTTATCCAAAAATAGGTGGTAAGTTCTTCCTCATTTTGGGAAAGCATTTTCTTGATTTGGGGTTTTATTTCCTCCCTGATTATTTCCCTAGGTGCAAAAGCTGTCTAAGAATGAAGTACTCATGGTGAACATAGGATCCCTGTCAACAGGGGGAAGAGTCAGTGCAGTCAAGGCTGATTTGGGCAAAATTGTTTTGACCAATCCTGTGTGCACAGAAGTAGGAGAAAAAATTGCCCTTAGTCGAAGAGTTGAAAAACACTGGCGGTAAGTTTATTAATCTTTGTCACTAGCTAATAAAAAAAGCATGATTGATATTCTTAAGTTCTTTTTGGCACATGTTCTCATGAATACTTTGAATGTGATATTTAGCTACAGTTGCATGTGTGTATATAAAATTTTTTTTTGAGCCATTTGAGGAGGTTGTATCTATCATGCCACTTTTATCTCTTACATATGTGAGTGTATATTTCCTAAAAATAAGTATATTCTCTTACATGGCCACTTCAAGAAGTTTAACTTACAAAAATGCTGGCATCTACCGTCTGTATTCTAGTTTTATTGCTTGTTCCAGCAGTTTCCTCTGTACCTCACCCGTCTAGGGTCACACGTTGAATTTAGTTTTCTTTTCTTTCTGACCTCCAATCTGAAACTTTCTTAGCTTTTCTTTCATTTGAACACTTGACAATTTTGAACACAAGTTACTTGACTTTATAGTGTGTCCCTCAATTTGGGTTCATCTGATGTTTCCTAAGATTCAATTCAGGTCATATATTCTTGGCTGGAGTACTTACATGTGTGTTGATGTCTCCTCAGGGAGGTAGAACCAATGGCACATACCTGACGTTTGTCCTTGATTATGCCATCATGGTGTTGTCCCTTTCCTCCACTCTGTAGCTGCTCTTTTTATCTGTATGTATCTAATAGCATCCTGTGGGCAGACTCTCAAGACAATGCCAATAACCTGCTCCTCCTCAGATCGCATCCCTTTGGGTTCAGCATTCACTGGCGATGGTTGTCTGCCTCAAACCTGACTATACTGAGGCAGAGTGGTGGTTCCACTCACACATCCCCAACTCCACCACTTCTCATTTATCAGGAACTTGAGATTCTTCCCCATTGTTTACTTGAGACTATAAAATGGACTCACAGAGCCCTATTTTATTCAGTATTTTATTATTCATTGCTCTTTATTATGTATTTTGATACCCAGATTGTCTGTAGGATTTAGTTAGTAAAGCTAACTAGTTAGCTTTTAGTTAGTACAAGCTGGCTTGTACCCTTTTCACATGTTCCTTTTAAAGATCTTCTTTACTTTCTCTGTGGTATTTTCTGTACCTCCTCTGTTCTGATTTTAGAAATTGGCTGTTTGTCTAAGACACCCTGCTTCCTGTTGGTGGGAAATGGTATTTAGAAATGAAGATTTGGTTGCTGGGTGTGTTCACTGCTTTAGGATGCTATTGTTTGTGAGCCCTTGGAATGGGTTGAGCTAGAAAACATACACATCACTGACTCCTGACTTTGCTCTTTCCCTGTTTGGTTACTGAGTTTATCCTTGCCTTTTTGTTCTCTGTGATCTCACCCTGGCCCCATCAGTCATACTTAAAAGTTACTGCAAAAGATTCTAACTTTGCCTCTCCCTTTGTTAATTAAGAGTTTGGTCACAATCTTTTTTTTTCCCCAATATTTTATTGAATTACCATTGTTTCACATCCTTGTTAATATTTTAACAGTACAAGATTTTTCTTCTCAGATGTGGTAACACAGCTCTCTCACCACCAAAGCACTCACAGTCTTCAAGAGTCCACTATACTCCCCCCACCCCGGCCCTGGCTCCCCCATCCTGGCCCTCACCCCCACCCCACCCCCCCTTTCCTCCTGGCTGCTGCAGGATTGTGGTCAGCTTTCAAGGGTTGACTTTTAAAGTTTGTCTTTGTCGTCACAGTCTTTCTAATATATTTTTATCATGCTGTACTTAATAGTTTGTGGTACTTTTCTGATTGAAGACCTTTCTAGATGTCTGCTGCAATGGGTCATACATTCCCTCCTGCTTTGTCTCATCTAAGCCCACTGAATTAGATGATTCCATGCCCTGATTGGCTCAGTAATTATTCAAATCACCCTTAACTCTGTTCTTTCCTATTTCCTTCTCTTATTAAAGCTTTTCCTGATAACTGTATCCCGTGGTGAACTCTCATCACTTTATGTTTAGAAGATTGAGCTGAATTATTACCTTAATTTGGGGGAGAATTAAATAAATTATCTGGCTTTGTGGTGACTTAAGCCTATTTAATTTTACTCTTTTATATGATTATACTATTTGCTATTATAGGCATACTAATTTCTGGTATATTTAAAATAGGCTTAAATAATAATTTTCAAAAACTCAACATGAAAAGTTTTAGTCTCAGTTAAAATGGTACAGTAACTTTCTAGATTAGAATGTGTTTTGAGACATTCAAATTTTTGTGTTTGGCCTCTAATAGAAGAAGTCTATCAAAATGAAAAATTAAGACTTTGCTTTAAAACTAGCAAATATGCTAGAATTATTTTTTGTTAGAGTTATTAAAATAAATTAGAGTCTGGATGAGCCTTATTTTCTTTACCATTATGGTTTTTGCTCATGTGTACATCAGTTTTATTCTAGAAGCTCCAGCTGAAGTAGCAGCGCAGCCTGCTCATTGACTAAAGCAGACACTGAAAGAAGGAACAGAGGTCCTTTGCTGTTGAGAGCATTGACTGTAGGCTCCTCTGATTCTTCTCTTAAGTCCCTTTACCGCCCAATGTCATGCTGAAGCTGTTGTGATTTGTTGTAGTACTGTGACTGGTGAGAAAGCATTTTTCAGATAGAAGGGATAGCAGATGACATTTCTTAAAAATGAACCTTGTTGGTATCAGCGTGGTTCCTCAGGTAGACTGAAGGGCTCTCTGGTAGTTCACTGTTTCTAGCCCACTTGGGTGTAGGAGTCCAAGAAGGTAATGTGGGCTTTATGGAGGCAGCAGGTTCGGGGGAAAAAATTGAACAGATTGGCAGATAAAAGCAGTTAATATGATTTGTGCTGATGACAGTAAAATACATGTAAAACTCATGATTTATTTTCATTTTGCAGTTTAATTGGTTGGGGTCAAATAAGAAGAGGCGTGACAATCAAGCCAACAGTGGATGATGATTGAAGAATGCCAGTTAAATAATACATAGGATGACGTTGGAATTTCTCTTTTAACAGCGTAGGGGTATATTTTCAAAGCAGTGCTACTGAGCTCACTGCCAGTAGTAGCTGTAAGATTATGTTCATTTTTGGTGATGAAAATTTAGCCTCTATTACTAAAATAATGTCTACAATAAATGTGCTATGCTTTAACCCGCTGTGCCATCCGGGAGGGCCCGTACAATAAATGTAAAAATTGGTGTAATGATTGATTGAATCAACATTTTAGCAGAAATTAATCATTCCCGAATGTCTAATTTATAAGTCTGCAGGTTTGAGATGAACCTGTCTGCCACAACCAGCCTTTATTGTAGCAAACATACCACTGAACCTATTTTAAAAAATACTGTCTTCTTTTTCGTGATTGGTCTTGAGTAGCTCCAAGCTTGAAGGACTCATACCAATGAGAACTTGAAGACACACTTCGCCTTGAAGACTAGCTCCCCTTTGCCCCCTCTTTTATGTTGCTTTGGCTTAACTGCTTAATTAATACAATTATGGTGTAGATCCCAGTGTTAGTACTCTTTGGCCTTTCAGAGGTGAGGATGTCAATAGTGGAAGCCCTGTGATTTTTAGTTAATATTCCTGTACTTCTCCTGAACTGTGCTTTTAAATTTTGTTTGTTTTAAGACTTAAGGCAGTGGTTCTTCATCTAGGCTGACATTTGAATCACTGCATAAGCTTAAAAAAAAAAAAAAAATGATGGTTTGTAGAATTTCTGATTTAATTCATTTGGGGTGCAGCCCAGCCTTTAACATTTTTTAGAACTCCTCTCTGTTGAGAGAGTTGAAAAATAGGTATGTATCAAATAGTACAAGTTCTTACAGAGTTTTAGTAGTCTGGTAGTACTCTAATTTTCTTGCTTAAATTTGCATTTAATGTGGGATTTGATACCACAGTCATAATATTGTACTCTGCGTTACAGAAGCTATCTTGTAGAAGTGTAGTAGTTATGACTATGAGTTGTTATGTAAGTTTTGAGGAAACAATAATGTGATCTTGAAGGGTTGTTATATATCATGAGGAACGCATTTAAATAAAGTAAGGTTCTAACCTGAACATTAATTTTATATCTAATATTTCCTTGTGTTTCATAAGTACCTTCTACTGAAAATTCTGGAGCAACATAAAACCCAAAATTTTGCAGTAGACTAATCTATTGTAATCAATCTCATGTCAGAACTGAATCCAGAAGTCCAGAATTTATTTTCAACATATACATGAATTTCAGCTGGTTTGCAAAGCATTATGTTTAGAATAAATGGGCATACACAACTGTGATAATGGGCCTTGTTTTTGTAGAACTTGAAGTCATTTTAGTGATTCTCAGCAAAAGATGTACCTGGCTGACATCTGTAATGTAATGTTGCCAATGGAAACATTGCATGTATAAGTCCTGTTGACTTTCCTATCAGGATTACTTCAGAATTTCACCAGATCTTATCATTGCAGTTTCCAAATTTACTTCACAGCAGTCGTGAGTTTCCAAATTTACTTTGACACAGTAGTGAGTTACCCTCTTTGTAAGTGTACAACTCTGATGACAAGTTGTAAAGGTAATTTTAACAAATGGGAAGAATGAGAACAGTTTAGCTGTGACATCATCTAAATAATTTCCAGGCTGTCTTAGAAAACTTTTCTCCCTATTTCTTGCAAAGTTGATGTGTCTGCTTTTTTGCAGAGGGAGGAGAACTTTTAGTAAAAATGTGCAAAGAACTGTACTCATAATATTTCTGTGATTTTATTTCTAAAAAAATTTGATAAAGGTGGCTTCCAATGAAATGGATGCTTTTTTTTACATAAAAATTTTAAGAATTATCATACAAAAGAGATAAATACTAATAATCAAGAAATTGAAGTTATTAAAAAATATCCTCTCAGAAAGTTTCTGTAAACTCATGACTCATACTTGGCCAGTTTTTCAAAGAATTGATAATCATGCTATTTGAACTGTTACAGATGATAGGAAAAGAAAGGGGGAGCGGGGAAGAAAATGCCCTAATTAGTTGAAAATTTGCTACCATATCTGAAGAGAATACTACAAAACAAAAAAGCCAACTAGAGATCATTCTTACAAATAAATGCTGAAATCCAGTAATTAAAGTATAATGCATTCTTATATATACATGGATGTTTTTATAGGTGGAAAGAAAAAAATAAGTTGCAAAGATGTATGTGATACAATTCAAAATTTTTTAAATAGGAAATGTGGAGGAGGAAATTATTAACTTGATGAGTACTTGAAGAACAGAATCATTGTTTTTGACGATGGATGAAACATTGGAACACAGTAATATCCTTCCATTGTACTGTTGGGATGGGGAAAATGTTGGGTAAAATAAGGGGTTGTGAAGTTAATGAAATAATGAAAATCAATGATTAGGCAGCAGTCCGCTGTTGCATTATACCAGAATTCATGTTACTGTTTATGTTCTCATTATGGTTTAGAGCAAGTAAAGGATGTCACCTGTCACTTCAGTTCTGTAGCATTGGTCTTAATATTGGGAATTGAAGTGACAGCATTATTTATAAGGTATAAGATAATATACATAGAAATGCAATCCAAAACCAAAAAACTTCAACTGCTAAGAGTATTCAGGGAGCTAGAAGAGTCAATGACAAATAAGCAAAAGATTACTCATTCACTCAATTACTGATTATACAACACACCCCCTCACATCAGAAAATGCAATGACTATAAACTACCCAGGTATAAATAGGAATATATATGTAAATAAAACTAACATTTGCTGAAGGACAAAAATGAATAAGATAATAAAGCCTTGGAGGGGAGTATTCAAATGTTGTACTGATAAACTACCATTTTTTCCCCCTATAAATTCAGTGCAATCTCAAGAAAATCAGTTTTAACTTTTTAAAGAATTTGTCCTGATAAAGATTTGGATATATAAATTCCCCAAAACAGTAAATTTGAAAAGAATTGGGAGTTGACCACATACAGAGGAACAGTATATGAAGGTGGTATTGATGGAGAACTAGATGAATCATCAAAACAAACTACAAGATGCAAAATTTTAGTACATAACTATTATATAGCATATGGGGAATGAAATAGTTTTGTAAGTGACTTCACTTGGGGATAAAAAAATCTTTTTTGATAAAAGATCTCTTAAATCATTTAACATTGTGTTGATATGAAATTATTTTTATTTTAATTTAGATGAGAAAAGCAAACCAAACTCAAAAGCCATAAAAGGAAATCTGATATATAAAGGTTCAAAACTTACGACCTAAGATACTACAGATGTGAAAGGTAGATTGGGAGAAAATACTTAAAACTTACATATTGTAAAAGATTAATATTCTTAGCACAGATTAGTAAGATCAAAAACAAATGGGGCAGGGCCTTCCCTGGTAGTGCAGGGGGTTACAGTGCAGCACTATGAAGCTATTCAAAGCCACTGCAGCAAGAGTTCGATATTCAGCCAGGGAGCTGACCCACATAGCACAGTGGACCTCTCCTGCTGCTCCCCTCAGCAGTGTGTTTCAGTTGATCTGCCTGTTCTGTTCCCCACTCTGTCTCTGGTGAGTCCTCTAACTGCCCCCTACATCTCTGGGCTGTACCCCAGTTCTTGTATGCGTAAATATCTGTAAAAAATAACAAATGGGACAAAATAAGTATGGTATCACTTCACGTGCACAAAGACTAGCAGGACGATTCATGCAGATTTCATGAGCAATCCAAATGCCACTGATTGTGTGGATAAAACTTAGTGGCTGGGAGGAGGTCCCAGTGGCAGGTGCAGAGGGGATACCCCACTTCCGTGGAGCTTCCTGTGTACCTCGGCTCCACAACAGAGGGTTTGTGCTTTTGTCAGTTACTTAGAAAGTGGGGTCTTGCTGAATCAGAAAATAAGTTTTGTGTTGGGCAATTGTGTTTTTACACTTTGGTTAGATCATTGTTCAGGAAGCATCAGCATCTCAGTGCTTCCATTTAAGGGGATGTTAGCAATCCTTGTGCAGTGGGGTGATCTTACTGTATTCTGGGACATTATTTACCATTATTGAACAATACTATCTGACTTGAGCTGTTTGGCAATAGGGAAGATCCACCTAGCAAATAGGCTATAGAAGAAATGCAGATATGCAGCACACATTTATAAGGTATTCATCCTATTTAATAAGGAACATGAAAACTGACAAGGCAGTTTATTTTCACTCATAAAAGTTGAAAACTTGCTCATGACAAGTTGTTGGTGAGAAGCATAAACTGGTGCATTCTTTAAAGAGGGTAGTTTGATTATATCTATCCAAACAAATTACCCTTTGACCCAGTATTTCATATCTGGGAATGTGTTGTGAAGAAATATTTGCACACACCTACAAATGACTGTAGAAGTATGTTTGTTCCAGCATTGTTTGTTAGAGCAATAGTTGTAAGACACCCAAATGTTATCCAGAAAGGAATGATTAATACATTCTCTAATACTTTTATTCCACTTGTGAAATAAAGCAGCCACCTTTGATTCAGCCCTGGTTAAAATTAAAGGTGAAAATATTGGCTCCAAACTGATCTTATGAAAATCTCTGATAACATTACCTCTGTGCTTTGAGAATTTGTAATTTAGTTTTGGTTATTGCTCTCAGCAAAAAGGAGGAGGAGGAATGTCAAAGGAAGGAGAGTTCTATGTAGGCTTAGCATTGAATCTGTTAGAATCACAAGTTTAGTTTTTCAAACAATTTTATAGAGAGAAAGTCAAAACCACCAAGTAAATTCCTCCCACTTATATAGTAGTGAAGTTATACATTCTGCATTCCTACAGAAAGTTTCTAGCAAATATAATTTCCTATTACAAGCATAAGTAATATATTCCCTATAACAAACATTTACAAAAATCATAATTTTAAGTATTACACTCCAAAAGAGTTAGCAATAAGTCCTTTGTAAATGATATGTTGAGAATATCACAGTAGGTGTTTCAACTAACCAGGAATGCCTTTTAGTGATGGCAAGATACAGAATTTGTATAACTCAAAAGTTAAAGCCATCATCCCTGGTTAATTGTCTTAAGCATTAGGGACCTTATGATTTGTAAAATCATCTTCAACCTCCAAAGGGTTTTAAAAGTGCTACAAAACCCATTAGCTCAATGGTTTACATTCTTTTTAAGATTGATTTATGCATACAGAACTGGGGTACATGCCAGAGGTGTGTGGGGGGTGTGAAAGGATTCCCCAGAGACAAGTGGGGAGCAGAACAGGCAGATGGACTGAAGTACACCGCTGAGGGGAGCAGCAGGTGTGTTAGAAGAGGTCTGCCACGCCATGTGGGTCAGCTCCCTGGTGGGGATCTATTCATTGTGCTTCACTTTAACCCAGGGATGCCCTGTGTTACATTCTTAAAGTACTAATTCAGCAACTTTTGTCTCCAAAGTTTTTCACCAACTATTATGACCCGACTATTTGTTAAAAATTACTGGTCTTAGAGCACCCAACGCCACAATAGTGAAGGCAAAGATAAATAGATGGGACTATATCAAGTTAAAGAGCTTCTGTACAGCAAAAGAGACATTACTAAAAAC